CAGATCCTCCCTCCGTCGACCCTGCCACTCCGCCGTCTGCCCGCGTCGAGGTCCCGCGCTCCGGAGTCCCGGGAAACAGCTCCCGTGCGACCTGGTCCGCCCCGACGATGCTCCGCATGGACGCACCCGATCCCCCTGGGATGGGAACGTCCACGGGCTCCACCTTCGGCCAGTGGTGGGCCTCCCAGTTCGGCGGAGCAAGACGCTCCGAGCGTCCAACCCTGGGCCCCGTCGCGGTTACCTCCCGTACCGTGTCGGGCCCCGGGGTCACCGCAGGCGTTTGCGGACCCACTGTAGGTGGTCTCGGAGCGGATTGTTGTCGCTCTGGGGTTGCGGACCCTCGCACCGGTGGCTGGTCCACCTCCATCTCGTCTTCTCCCTCGCTCTCTACCACACGACGGCTCTTGCGCCTAGACCGCTTCACCCGAGACCGCTGGAGTTCTTCAAGCGACCTCCGCTTGGCCTCCGCGATGTCGGGGTGGTCTTCTTCGTCGTCCCCCGCTCCCCGGCGCTCCAACAAGTCGTCCAAGCGAGCAAGCTCCCGTCGGACGACGGCAACTTGCTCCCGGAGCGCTGCGTCGGCAGCGCGGTCGGCGGTTCCCACTCCGGACCCCAATCCAGGCCGTGGAGACGCTGCGCGCCGACTCCGAAGTCGTCGGACCGGCCGCGCACTTGTCTCCGCCGCCGGTTGCTTCACCGCCCGCTTCCTCTTCTTCCCCTGTCCCGACTTTCCCGCTCCGCTCGCCTGTTTTTTGGCCCGAGGGACCGTGCGCGTGGTGGTCGGGTTCAGGGAGCACGAGATGTGCCCCCGCTGACATCGCGGACATGTCCGCCATCCATCGGGCTTGGTGGGCGTGTAACACGCGTGGTCGTGTAGGCGGCACTCCAAACATCCTGCAAAATCAGATTAGAGGAATAAAATAAAAAGAACCTACTGCGGTACTTACGGTCGTCCCCAACCAAGCGCTCCATACCCGGAGTGCGCTGGTCCACCTCCGTATCCTCCGCCTCGTACCCCGCGTCCGAGTCCGAGCTCGGCGTCCGCTCCGTCCGCCCCGAGGCGCGACGCCGTGTCGGTCCCGCGATGACTCGCTCCACCGGAGGAAGCGAGAGCCTCCTCGCGATGGTTGCAAGCTCGTCGTCCTCGACGACGTCCCCCATCGCCTCCAACTCCCTCGCCGCCGCCAACTTGGCCTCACGCGCCTGCTGCAACGCAGCCAGCTGGGCCTGCAGACGCTTCGCGTGTGCAGACCGCGCTGCCTGCGCCTCGGCCGTGGCCCGCTGGCGCTCTTCCTCACTCGCCACCTTCTCCTTCCCCGTTCCGTCTCGACCTCCTCCGTTCCCCTTCGCTCCACTGCCGTTTCCCTCGTTCCCTCCTCCGGGTGCTCCTGCCTGGGTGCTGGTGGTGTTCGACATAGGTTGCTGGCTGCGGAGTGGTTGGTGGTGGCGGTAGGAGGAGAAGTGAAAAAGATTGCTGTCAACAACTTACGGCATAGGACACGTGAACGTGCACGTGATCACTTGGCGACTCAGAAAAAATTTGGCGAATTTCCACATCATTAATTTTTAAATTATCCACAATCCATTTCACGATCATTCACGCAGTATTCTTCCAGACCCTTGAGGTTCGCCTAGGGAGTCGAACCCAAGAGGGGGATACTGTTATATCCATGTTCCGATCCTTCGGACATAGGTCCGAGGATGGCCGAATCGCTCCGTTAACTCCGGGCTCCGCTCCGTCGGAGCGGAGACGGAACGACGGAGCGCGGCGGACTTCCTTCAGAAGTCCGTATCGCGCCATAAGGCGACATCCTTATTGTCCGCCTCGCTCAAGACTTCTTACTTATTGTCCAAACCACTTCTTCCAAGTCACCTGACTTCTTCCACCCCTTTCGGATATAACCTTATTGTTACTTCCGCATGGAACCTTACATATCTCCTTTCCGTATTACAATAAGACCCTTTAGTATTTAATCACTTAGACTACAGCACTGTACTTCAGATTTATTATTAACGTTGCTTCGCACTCCCTGCAAGTAATCTGAGTTAACGCTCCGGAACCTCACTCGGAGCTCCGTCTCGTCTATCCCGTACTCCGAGGCCAAGGGTAGTAACGTTCACCCTGCTCTCTAGTGGTGTAGCGTCATCCGATCCTCCGGTCACCCTTTCCCCCCGACTCCGTCACTCCGCTCCGTTCCGACTCCGCACTCCGGTATCTCGGAACTCCGTCCGACTGGTCGGTCGGCCCTCTTATCCGTAGCTCGGATATAACAGGCCCATTCAGCTAAGGTCACTGTACCTACAGGTGTACAATGGTAATGTGTAAAATGAAACGGTGCCCTGATCCTTTCCACCTCTATACCCCTTTTTACCCACACCACCACGTCCCCCTGCCCACACTTCCAACAGTGAACCATCACTGTACCATGTGGAGCACCGCACGTGCCCATCACTCAGCCCAAAGTTGAGTTCCTGAAGAGTGCTATCCTTCGGTGTAATGATCATAACAATGGCAGCTCAGGGAGGGACCTTGTTGCGAAGACCAGTCCTAATAGTGAGGTTGCGCTGGACATTGGTTCTGGGAACTTCATGGGTCAACAGTAAATTCAGGTGGTATTGAGTGCTTGGGCGGTCATTTTGTCCTATCGTTTCCGGGTTGTTCTGGTCTATAGAGGATGCTATCTCATGTTTTGGTGTAGAGCAGAAATTGCTCCTGGTGGTAGTTCTCCAGATAAGGTGATGTTGTTTCCCAATTGAGAATGCTTTGACCAATTGCCAATACTGAAAACTCACATGGGCTGGGGTGTTACGACTATTCGATAGAGGAAAGGGCTTTCTACGGTAAATTCTACCATTGAGGTAAGGAAATGAGTTTAACTCTCATACCACGTCAGAGGCCCAGCAGTCACTAGTCTGGCGCAGAAGACCACACACGTGTGGTTGTACATGCGCACATGCGCACAAGATGCACCGTTGCGGTAATCCCTCAGAGGCCGTATTTATTGATGTTTGTTGTGGGTGGTCGGGCCACGTGGGTCAATCTATGTGCAGATCTGCCTGATCTGCCACCTCTTGAATTTTGCAATTTAGAGCAGGTGTTGATTGGCTTAATGGTTGAGATGAAATGAGAGGTTTTTTTACACAAAAAAACAAGTATAATCCCTCCAGTCTATGGGGGCCTGAGTCGAACAAGTGGGGTCTGCAATATATTGTGTGACATCTCTCGGAGAGAAAGCAGATGCGGACCATCCGCTACCAAGCCTTATCCCACTTACACAAAACTCAAATATGTTGGTGAGATTTTGGAGTGCTGAAAGGGCTCTCGTCGAGCTCCTCAATATCTTTCCATCAGCCAAGGTGTGTTGGAATTGGACCTCACGCTTGATGTGGGTGTACAGTTGGGAGAACCTGTATCGGTAGGCATGGGAGGTTGGAGATGAAAAAGCAAACTAAAAATCATGTGGACATCCATCCCATGGCTCGAGCAAGCCTTTTGCAGACCTTCAATAGGTTGGCTAGTTTTTGCAGTGCTGAAACTGCAGTTGGTTTCAGCACTGCAAAAACTGCAGTTGGTCTGGCCCAAAAACCAGCAACACAAGCGGGCAAACCTAGAATGCTTCTGCAGACTTGAGTTTTGTTATTCAAACGCTCAAAAAAAAAAAAAAAAAAAAAAAAAAAAATCAGTTGGTAAACAGCTGTTGCTTTTTTTCAGCCAAGGTATCTCAAATGACTTGTGTTCAAAGTGAATTTACTCGGTGGATAAGATTCAAAGGAGGAGGAGGAGGAAAAAAGACCTCATTTCTATGTGGACGACGGCTCAGGCCTGAGTTGAACAGGTGGGGTCTGCATCACATTGATCAACACCTTCTAGAGAACTTGAAAGCAGATGCGGAACCCTCCGCTCCCAAGCTCTATGCTCTTGCGTGGGAGGTCACATAGGTGGGTGCATTCTGAGTGAATTTTAGTTCTTCCCTTCACTAATACTTACTTCCTCTCCTTCAAACAAATGTCAAGATCAAAGTGGCTTACTTCCCCAATTCAGAGCAGGTGTTGATTGATTTAATGGTTGAGACGAAATGAGAGGTTTTAATAAAAACAAGTACGATCCCTCCAGTGTATGGCTCAGGCCTGAGTCGAACAGGCAGTATCTGCGTTGTACATTTTGAACCTTCTCACTGAAGGACAGCAGATGCGGACCCTCCGCTACCAAGCCTCATCCGACTCACATAGAACTCGAATATGTCGGTGAGATTTTGGAGTGCTGAAACGGCTCTCGTAAAGCTCCTCAATATTGTTCCATCAGCCAAGGTGTGTTGGAATTGGACCTCAAGCCTGATGTGGATGTACAGTTCGGAGAACCTGTATGCATAATGCATGGGAGTTTGGAAGATGAGAAAGCAAACTAAAAATCATGTGGACATCCATCCCATGGCTCGAGCCTGACTTGAACAGGCAGACTATGCATTATACTCCGTGGAGTGATTGAAGGGAGGACAAAGGCAGACCCTCCACTACCAAGCCTTTTGCAGAACTTAAATAGGTTGGTTAGTTTTTGCAGTGCTGAAACTGCAGTTGGTAAATAGCTGTTACTTCTTTTCAGCCAAGGTGTATCTCAAATGAGTTGTGTTCAAAGTGAATTTACTCGGTGGATAAGATTCAAAGGAGGAGGAGGAAAAAAGAAGTTATCTCAATGTGGACGACGGCTCAGGCCTGAGTCGAACAGGCGGGGTCTGCATCACATTGATCAGCACCTTCCAGAGAAAGCAGATGCAGAACCCTCCGCTACCGAGCCTTATGCACTTATGTGGGAGGTTGGATAGGTGAGTGCATTCTGAGTGAATTTTAGTTCTCCCCTTCACTAATACTTACTTCCTCTCCCACAAAAAAAATTCGAGATCAACACGACTTAATTTTCTAATTCAGAGCAGGCGTTGATTGCGTTGAATGGTTGAGATGAAATGAGAGGTGTTAATAAAAACAAGTATGATCCCTCCAGTGTATGGCTCGGGCCTGATTCGAACAGGCAGTATCTGCATTGTACATTTTGGACATACTCAAGGACAGCAGATGCGGAACCCTTCGCTACCAAGCCTTATGCACTTGTGTGGGAGGTGAGATAGATGGGTGAGTTTTTTCGAACTGGGCTGGCAGTATCGTTTTTTCCTTTTCCTCTTGTTCTGCAACCCAAATTGGGCTGTAGCTGAAATGCAAAGTTACGAGTCCATGAGTTAGGTATGAGTAGTAAGTAAAAAATATGTGCAGGTGTGGGAGTTTGAAAGAGGAGAACAAGATAAAAAATTTGATGAGCGCATGGCTCGGGCCTGAGTCGACCAGGCGGGGAATGCATTACATATAGAGTTTACCACTGAGAAAAGCAGATGCGGACCATCCGCCATCAAGCCCTATGCTCTTGTGTGGGAGGTCACATAGGTGGGTGCATTCTGAGTGAATTTTGGTTCTCCCCTTCACTAATACTTGCTTCCTCTCCTACAAAAAAATGTTGAGATTAACACGACTTAATTTTCTAATTCAGAGCAGGTGTTGATTGGTTTAATGGCTGAGATGAAATGAGAGGTTTTAATAAAAACAAGTACGATCCCTCCAGTGTATGGCTCGGGCCTGAGTCGAACAGGTGGAGTCTGCATCACATATTTGACCGCCTAAGTAAAGCAGATGCGGACTGTCTGCTACCGAGCCTTGCTCAGCAGTGCGAGCAGTGTTGTCTGTGTTCTTTTTCCTTTTCCTCTTGTTCTGCAACCCAAATTGGGCCGTAGTGAAATACAAATTTACGAGTCCATGAGTTAGGTATAAGTAGTGAGCAAAAATATATGTGGATGTGTATAAAGCAGTTTGCAAGAGAAATACATAGTCAGAGCAGGAAAAAAGGCTTGGTGGATATTCATGGCCCATGGCTTGGCCCTGAGTCGAACAGGCGGGGTCTGCATCACATTGATCAACACCTTCTAGAGGAAGCAGATGCGGACCGTCCGCTACTAAGCCTTATGCACTTGTGTGGGAGGTGAGATAGATGGGTGAGTTTTTTAGAACTGGGCTGGCAGTATTGTTTTGCTTCTGTTTATTTTTATTTTTGTTCTGCAACCCAAATTGGGCTGCAGCTGAAATGCAAATCTACCAGTTTATGATTTAGGTATAAGTAGTACGCAAAAGATGTGTGGTTGTATGGGAGTTTGGAAGAGGAGAACAAGATAAAAATTTGATGAGCGCATGGCTTGGCCCTGAGTCAAACAGCTGGGGTCTGTGTTATACTCCATGGAGTGTGTGAAGGGAGGGCAGATGCGGACCCTCCGCTACCAAGCCTTTTGCAGAACTTAAATAGGTTGCTTAGTTTTTGCAGTACTGAAACTGCAGTTGGTATACAGCTGTTTCTTCTTTTCAGCCAAAGGTGTATCTCAAATGACTTGTGTTCAAAGTGAATTTACTCGGTGGATAAGATTCAAAGGAGGAGGAGGAGGAGGAAAAAAGACCTCAGTTCTACGTAGACGACGGCTCAGGCCTGAGTCGAACAGGCGGGGTTTGCATTGTACATTTTGGACAAGCTCAAGGACAGCAGATGCGGAACACTCCGCTACCAAACCTTCTGCACTGGTGTTGGAGGTGGGATAGGTGGGCAAGCTTTTCGAAACTGGGCTGCAGTATTGTCTTCTTTCCCTTTTCTGCAACCCAAATTGGGCCTGCAATAGGGATTTCCTCCTGCAGAGGTCTATGGCCACTGCAACTTCCCGTACCCCATGTAGTTGTGATCCATGACCCTTTCTGATGTTTTCCGGGCCAAAAGTAGGATTACCACCCACAGTCGATCTCCCATAAGGCTGGCACCAGTGTTTCCGGTTTGACAAGGCGGGCTATGTGGATGGCTCAGGTGTAAAGTGGACTCAGAGGCCGAGACGCCATTACAAGGCTTGTTCAGATCCTCACATAAAGGCTTCTTCCTTGCTCCTGTATGACTCTCGGCGAGGCCAGTGCCCAAAAAGAACAGGATTTTTTCCCGGCTGTCACAGCTGATTCCGTGTAGTTGGACTAACCCTAGCCTAACCCCGAGACACCGAGGCAAATATATTCCTCAACCCTCACACTTAACCGACCTTAACCCGAACCATAACCATGTGTATATAACAGTTTGCAAGAGAAATATATAGTCAGAGCAGGAAAAAATGTTTGTTGGACCGCAGCATGGCTTGGCCCTGAGTCGAACAGGCGGGGTCTGCATTATATCGGCTATGAATACATTCTACAGAAAGCAGATGCGGACCCTCCGCTGCCAAGCCTTATGCACTAGTGTGGGAGGTGGGATGGGTGGGTGACTTCTTCGAAACTGGGCTGGCAGTAATGTCTTCCTTCTGTTCTTTTTTATGTTCTCAACTCATCGTGGACTGCAGCTCAGTGCAAATTTTTGAATTAGGTGCAGTAAGCCAGAAACATGTGGATGTGTATATAACAGTTTGCAAGGTAAATACATAGTCAGAGTAGGAAAAAATTGTTTGGTGTAGCTCCATGGTCCATGGCTTGGCCCTGAGTCGAACAGGCGGGGACTGCATCACATTGATCAACACCTTCCAGAGAAAGCAGATGCGGACCGTTCGCTACCAAGCCTTATGCACTTGTGTGGGAGGTGGGATAAGTGGGTGAGTTTTTCGAAACTGGGTGGGCAGTATTGTCTTCCTTCTGCTTATTTTCTTTCAATCCACTGTGAACTGCAGCTCGAATGTAAACTTACAAGTTTCTGGACTAGGTACAGTAGGCAAGACAAGTGGATGTGTATATAACAGTTTGCAAGAGAAATACATAGTCAGAGCAAGAAAAAATGCTTATTAGACCTCATGGCTTGGCCCTGAGTCGAACAGGCGGGGTCTGCATCACATTGATCAACACCTTCCAGAGAAAGCAGATGCGGACCGTCCGCTACCAAGCCTTATCCCACTTACACAGAACTTAGATAGGTGGGTGAGTTTTTGAACCTGGGTGGGCAGTATCATCTTCTTTCCCTTTTCTGCAACCCAAATTGGGCCGTAGTGAAATACAAATTTACGAGTCCATGAGTTAGGTATAAGTAGTGAGCAAAAATATTTGTGGATGTGTATATAACAGTTTGCAAGAGAAATACATAGTCAGAGCAGGAAAAAAGGCTTGGTGGATATTCATGGCCCATGGCTTGGCCCTGAATCGAACAGGGGGGGTCTGCAGTATATTCTGTCCTCTCGGAGAGAAAGCAGGTGCGGACCGTCCGCTACCGAGCCTTATGCACTTATGTGGGAGATTGGATAGGTCGGTGCATTCCGAGTATCTTGGTTCTTACCTTCACTGATACTTACAAGTTCCTCTCCTACAAAAAAATGTCAAGATCAAAGTGGCTTACTTCCCCAATTCAGAGCAGGTGTTGATTGATTTAATGGTTGAGATGAAATGAGAGGTTTTAATAAAAAACAAGTACGATCCCTCCAGTGTATGGCTCGGGCCTGAGTCGAACAGGTGCAGTCTTCATCACATATTTGACCGCCTAAGTAAAGCAGATGCGGACTGTCTGCTACCGAGTCTTGCTCAGCAGTGCGAGCAGTGTTGTCTGTGTTCTGTTTCTTTGCTACGTTCTGCAACCCATTGTGCACTGCACCTCAAATGCAAATTTATGAGTTCATGATTTAGGTATAAGTTAAGCAAAAAAAATATGTGGATGTGTATATAAGAGTTTACAAGAGAAATACATGGTCAGAGCAGGCAAAAATTGTTTATTATATCTCCACGGCCCATGGCTTGGCCCTGAGTCGAACAGGCGGGGTCTGCATCACATTGATAAACACCTTCCAGAGAAAGCAGGTGTGGACCGTCCGCTACCAAACCTTCTGCACTTGTGTGGCAGGTTGGATGGGTGGGTGAGATTTTAGAAACCAGGCAGGCAGTATTGTCTTCTTTTTCCTTTTCCTCTTGTTCTGCGACCCAAATTGGGCTGTAGCTGAAATGCAAATCTACGAGTTCATGATTTAGGTATAGTAAGCAAAAGATATGTGCAGGTGTGGGAGTTTGACAGATGGAGAACAAGATAAAAAAATCAGATGAACGGCTCGGGCCTGAGTCGACCAGGCGGGGAATGCATTACATATAGAGTTTACCACTGAGGAAAGCAGATGCGGACCATCCGCTACTGAGCCTTATGCTCTTGTGTGGGAGGTCACATAGGTGGATGCATTCTGAGTGAATTTTAGTTCTCCCCTTCACTAATACTTACTTCCTCTCCCACAAAAAAATTTCGAGATCAACACGACTTAACTTTCTAATTCAGAGCAGGTGTTGATTGATTTAGGTTGAGATGAAATGAGCGGTTTTGATAAAAACAAGTACGATCCCTCCAGTGTATGGCTCGGGCCTGAATCGAACAGGCGGAATCTGCTTATACTCCACAGACTGCTTGAAGGGAGAGCAGATGCGGACCATCTGCTACCAAGCCCTACGCCCCTGTGTTGGAGGTGGAATAGGTGGGTGACTTCTTTGAAACTGGGCGGGCAGTATTGGCTGCCTTTTTACGTTCTCAACCCATGTGGAATGCAGCTCAATGCAAATTTACGAGTTCATGAGTTAGGTATAGTAAGCAAAAGATATGTGCAGGTGTGGGAGTTTGGAAGATGGAGAACAAAATAAAACCACATGAATGCCTACGTATGGCTCGGGCCTGAGTCGAACAGGCAACTTCTGCAGTATGGTATAACTGAACTCCCAGACAAAGAAAGCAGATCCGGACCGTCCGCTACCAAGCCTTATTACCTTGTGTGGGAGGTGGGATAGATGGGTGAGTTTTTCGAAACTGGGTGGGCAGTATTGTCGCTGTTTGCCTTTCTTCAGCTTCTGATTTTTTTTTTGTGAAACCCATTGTGGACTGCAGCTCGAATGCAAATTACGAGTTTATGATGTACTTAGGTACAGTAAGCCAGAGATATGTATATAGCGGTTTGCAAGAGAAATACATAGTCAGAGCAAGAAAAAATGCTTATTAGACCTCATGGCTTGGCCCTGAGTCGAACAGGCGGGGTCTGCATCACATTGATCAACACCTTCCAGAGAAAGCAGATGCGGACCGTCCGCTACCAAGCCGTATTTACAAGTGTTGCAGGTTCAATAGGTTCATGAGTTTTTCGATGGGGGGGCAGTATTATTGTCTTCCTCCCATCCTCCTTTTTCTCTTTCAACCCGTTGTGGACTGCAGCTTGAATGCAAATTTACGAGTCCATGAGTTAGGTATAAGTAGTAAGCAAAGGATACGTGGACGTATGGGAGTTTGGAAGATGGAAGATGGAGAACAAAATAAAAAGAATGAACGCCAGTGGATGCCTCGGGCCTGAGGCGAACAGGCGGAATCTCTGCTTTGTGGAGCCGAGGGAGAGCAGATGCGGACCGTCCGCTACCGGTAAAAGTGGGTAAGCTTCACAGTGAGAGTAAGTTACCTTCCCATTCATTTCACTTCAGAACAGCGACCACATGCTCAAGTCTTCATTCACTTTGACGCACTTGACGGACTGCTGAGAAGACCGGAGCAAGCAGGAGCCGTCGCTTCTTTGATGCTATCTACCCAAACGCGGCACACGTCGTCAGTTGACAGCTTCGATTGCGTGATCGAAGCTAAAGACACCTCCGTTTGGGTGCGGGGAAGTGGGCTGTGTTTCAATCTCCTCTCAATCAGAATGAGAAGGGAGGGCTAAAATGAAGAGCTATCACCGCGCAAGGGCCGTGCTGTGTTTGTAAATTTAAAGGAAGAGAGATAGACACAGCTGCTGTGAAAGTAACGGCGCAGATGAGGGGACGGAGCAAGCGATTTCATAATTAACAGACCCCGTTAGTGCTATCTTTGCAATCAGTGATCGGAAGTACGTGCATCACGTAACGATTGAGCCTCGTGCCCGCCCGCTTGGATTGAATCCAGCTAGGCGAAATTCAGCCTTTGTTACTGAAACTGAAGTTACAACAACGACGACGACTTTATGGACGACCTGAACGCCGTTGACCTGAATGGCTTCACCCACGACAACGACACCATGGCCACACACGGACTGACCTACCCCCCGGCCCTCCTTCCCGCCGCCTTGCCCGCCCACCCAAGTGTACCGGGCGCCCGTATTCTGTCCGCCTCGCAATTCGCAGAGCTGCATAGGCGGCATACGATGGCGCACGCCCCCGACGGCGTGCTGTTCCCGTTCCTGCATGGGCTGGAGGGCGACAACGTCGCGCAGAACACCTTCTTTGCGGGGTCTGAACTGCGCAACTCCAACGCCGCCTTCCTCAGCACCCATGCAGGAGGGGCGAAGCGCCGTCCGCCGCGCTTCCGCGGCCTCGTATGGGCCGTCGCCGAAGAGGACTTGTTGCCCCCGGCGTCGCCGACTTCGCGCGCGGAGGACGAGCTGTATCGGGAGCTGGAGGACGAGTATACGGAGGGGGACGAGTACGAGAGCGACGACGAGGAGGTGGAGAGCGAGCTGGATGAGCTCGCCGTCGGCATGGACGTCGACGGCCCCTCGTCCGCTTCGTCGCCCTCTGCGATGGGGCATCTGGGCGCGCACGGCATCGACGTGCGTATTGCCGGGGAGGAACCGCCTATAACGACTTTGGAGGGCGGCGACCATGAACATGAAACGCACGGACAAGACGCGGACGCGGCGAAGCACATGCACCCCGTCGCGCACCGCGAGCGCCAGCTGCCGCTCGCTACGCCCGAGGCCGACGACGGGTTCGCCGCGCCCCCGCGTGAGGGCGGCGGTGGGGATGTGGTTATGGAGATGTGAGTGCTTTGCGTTCTGTTTCATTCTTGGGTCTTTCTTGGAGGCTTTGGCCTTTGTGTTTTTTTTTGGCACATTTCGTACTCCTATTCGTGAATCTGACTGCTCGTGTCAACGAATGGACGAGCCCTTTCGCTCGAGCTGCGAGCTGTGCTGCACTTTCCTGATGCAGGCGCTCGTCCTTCGTTTTCGATCGTTATCCTCCCTCCCTCCCTCCCAGCGCTTCTTCCAGCGCTTCTCCCTTCTCCCTTCTTTCTCCCTTCTACATTCTTTCTTTCCATTCCTCTCAGAGGCCCGTCCCTCGCTCTCCCATCTCGTCCCCTTTTCCGGTTCCCTTTTCTGGTTGCCCCTCCGCCTCCAAAGGTCAAGGACACAAAGGGGCCGTCTGGCGTCGGAGCCGCGTTGGCGCGGCGCGGCAGAAAGGGGCGCGGGAGTGGCGTGCGCGGCAAGACGACGACTTGCGCCCTGGCTTGCCCCGTTCCCATTTCCCATTTCCTTCTCACTTTCTTTCCCTTTGATATCGTCTTTTTTTCTTTTTTTATAAAAAAATTCATACATACATACATACATACTGGGCGGGACTCGTTTCGTCGCCCGTCCTTCGTTTCCTGCCTACCTCCCTCCCAGCGCTTCTCCCTTCTTTCTCCCTTCTCCCTTCTACTTCCTTCCTTTCCATCCCTCTGCCCGTCCCTCGCTCTCCCATCTCGTCTTCCACCCCTTTTCCCGTCCCCTTTTCTTTCCGCCCCTCCGCCTCCAGAGACCAACGACACAAGGGCAGTCGGGTCTGGGTCTGTTCCGCGCTGCGTTCCTTCGGGTGGTGCGTCGGAGCCGAGTTGGCGCGGCGCGGGAGAAAGGGGCGCGGGAGGCGTGGATTGGACGCCAAGACGACGACTTGCGCCGTGGCTTGCCCCATTTCCATCGGCGTTTGCGTTTGCATTCCGCTCTCGCTTTCTCTCCCTCCGAAATGTCTCGTCTCGTCCTTTTTTTGTTTTTGTTTTTGTTTCTTTTCAATTCATACGCCTGCGCGGGCTTCGTCTCGTCTCGTCGCTTGCCGCATACGTGCATACGGGCGTTCGCTCTTCGCTCTTCGCTCTTTTCTATTCTTCTTACGTCTTTCGTTTTTTGCGTTCTTGGGTCTTTCTTTCGTTTTGGGGGCGCATTTGGACGAACCCTCTCGCACTCGCGCTTGGGATGCGCTGCACTTGCACTTTACTGATGCAGCCGCTCGTCTTTCGATCGTTACCGCCTTGCATCATGTGCACACTTTCTTTGCTTTGCCCCTTCCTCCCAGTCCGCCCCGTCTCGCCTGCTGCCTGCCTGCCTCCCTTTCCCCTTGGCCTTTTCTGCATGCAGATCCCGCCCTCCTCCCTTCTCCTTAACGTCGTGGATCCCTCCCCTCCGCGCCCTCCAAAGACCAAGGACACAAAGGGGCCGCCTGGGTCTGTTCCGCGCAGCGCTCCTTCCTTCGGCGCTCCTTTCCTGGCGCGTCGGAGCCGAGTCGGCGCCGCGCGGGAGAAAGGGGTGCGGAGTGGCGCGCGCCAAGACGACGACTTGCGCCTTGGCTTGCCCCGTTCCCATTCTCCTCTCCCTCTCGCTTTCTCCCCCCGAAATATCTCGTCTCGGCCTTTTTCTTTTCAATTCACACCCCTCGGCGGGACTCGTCTCGTTTCGTCGCTTGCGGCGTTCGTGCGCAACTCGGATCTATTCTCCCTGTTCTATTCTACTTCTTCTTCCCCTCTCTTTATTTATTTATTCGCCGAGTTGGCGGTGAGAGGGGTCGCGTGCCGTGGCGCCAGAGTGGCGCGCGCGCCAAGACGATGCCTTTCGCCGCCTCGGCTTGCCCCATTCCCATTCCCATTGGCGTTTGCGTTTGCGTTTCCCTTTCTCTTTCCTCCGAAACATCTCGTCTCGTCCTTTATCTTCTTTTTTTTTCACTTTCACACGCCTCGGCAGGACTCGTTTCGTCGCTTGCGGCGTTCGTGCAAAACTCGGATCGATTCTACTTCTCTTCTTATTCATCCATTTATTCCGTTCCTCTTCACCGTCCTTCTAATATACTAACCGAATCCCCAGCGCGCCCGCGCCCGCATCTGCGTCTGCGTCCACCCCCTCCAGCTCCTCCGCCTCTTCCTCCTCCTCATACTCTGCGCCCTCCCTCCTCGACACCGCGCCCGCGCGTCCCCCGGGGCTCGAGCAGCAAAATATCATCGCCGCGACGCGAGATGCGGCACCGGCGGAGGAAAGTGGTGCGGACGACACTGCGCAAACGCACAACACCGCGCAAACGCAAAATCACCCCGCAGACAAGCAAAATCAAAAGCAAGAAGACGCGGGCGGCGGCTCCCCGCTCCTGACGTGCACCTTCCGCCCGCGGGAGCTCGTCAGAAGGGTTGTTGGGAGTGGGGTCGGGGGTGAGGTGCGTTGGGTTTTTGTTTACTTCGTTGGATTTTGTTCTTGCGAGGGCGCGGGTTTCGGGGGGTTTTTTTTGGATCTTTTTGTTTTTCTGGCCAACGACCTTTTTTGGTCGCTGCGTCGCGTCTACTTTCCTGTTCTTTTTTTTTCCGGGGGGGGGAGGGTAGTCTATTTGATTTCTACTTGCACCTTCTGCTTTCTTACTTTTGGTGGGGGCGGCGGGGGATTTCGGGGGTTGAGAGAATTTTTTGGGGGACACAGAGGAGAGGAAGGGGAGCGAGGAGCGAGGAGCGAGGAGCGAGGTGGTGGCGTGCGGTGTGGTGCGGTGTATCCATCCAGTGGGAGTCGACTCGTTGGTGGCTCCCCTCTTTTGTGCCCTTCTGTTCGCGCTCGCTCGTCGACTCGGGCCATGCGGAAGAGGGAGGGGGAGGGGAGGCGCGTCGATACCGAGACTGCCCACCCAGGCAGGGCGCGCGGAACGGGCCTTACCTTGCCTTGCCTTCATCCCTCCCCCACGTTGCGTGCTCTCGTCGCCGGACCCCCTGGGCGTGACTTGTGCATTTCGAAAAATTCCCCGT